GTGTATGTGTTGAAGATTCAGATAATTATTATAATTGAATAGACTTATATCAACGTGTTGCTATTTTTCGCCTTGATTACTTTTCTAAGTTTATTATTAAGATTAAGTCCTAAAATTGTTGTCACAATATAATTCTATTTATTTGTTTTTCAGTGCCTTATTTTACATTAAGAACAATCTGAATGATAAGTGTAAAATGTCTTAACATAATAATTTTATTCACTACGACGTTTCGGAGACTGTTTTGTCTCCCTCATAAGGTACAACTGAAAATTTAATTACAAAATTTTGCCATGCCAATGAATACAAAATAATTTACACAAAAATAACAAATAAATATATACTGTACCCAATTCAAAGAAAGCTCAGCTGTTATAATGTAAAACTATAACTAACTATAACTAAATCATTTAAAATAATTGTAGCTTAAAATTAAATTCTGCGGAGATACAATCATTTCATTCAATTTCTTTCATACCCTCCCCAATTGGAGGTACTAGAGTCGTCCATGCTTGGCTTAAAACTTTGATCACAAAACTAACAATAGTTTTAATGTAGTTTGAAGGCACTTTATTTTAGGACGTTATTATTAGAGCGTTCAAAAAAACACGGAAGCGAAGTTAAACGGATCAAATTTACGCTCAACACAGTTTTGGTAAATCATTATTTTACAAGCCTTTTATTTTCGTTTAATCATAAATTTACATTCTTCCTGCTTACATATTCACTATAATGTACATGAGAGCTGGAAGTATCATGAGCGATGTGGAAATATTCAGTAAAGAAACATATTTTACGAAAATAATTTTAAATATCACCAAATACTCTTCATAAATGTATTTTACACTGCATATATTTTCATTCATTTTACAATCTTGTGAAAATAATAATTTAATAAACCACAACTGCGTGAAAGAATTATAAGTGTTTGATTTTCTTTGTTTCTACTCCGTTTCCAATTATTTGCTACCAACTCATACCTTTAGATATTACTGAATTTCAAAAATATTAGAAAAGTAAAAACATTTTCTCAGATTTATAAATCACTTTTTTCTTTATCGAAATCTTTAATGCACTACCACTTTGTTTACTTGAGGAAAAGATTCCAAAGAAAGGAACATTCAGAAAGAATTTCAGGGAGAAGGACAATATCAATTCGGTCCCTCTCGCTCATTTGCCATTTTTGAAATTAAAATTTAACACATTTGATAGTTTGAAATAAAAACATGTTAATATTGAGAATTTTCCTTTAGAATAGGAAATTTGTTTGAATAAATGATTGAGTAAAATTACAAAAGAAATGGCATTCCTGTGACTCGCATTTGAAACAGTGTGTATTTCAGTTACTTTTTCAGATAGAACTTTCGTTTTCTAGATATTAGTTCCTTCTATCAATGCTACTTTAAATTTATAAAATTCAACAATCACACATTTCTAATAATTAAATTGAAACATTCCTTATAATATAGTTGAATGAGTTAGTGCATATATTCCTAATGAAATGTCTTATAATACTCAACTTTATTTCCGAATGGAAAAATGTGAAGATAACGAAAACAAACCATGATAGTAGAATAGTATACATACACTTTGGATTAAAAACATAGGATTTTATGTACTTATTAAAATCTTTCAACTTATCCAATATTTCAAATAGAAAATTATTTCAGACCTTTGTTTTGGTTGTTTAATTTACTTCTTACTTATACTTAAACTGGAATCGGGAAGAACTATTATTATCAATGATAGGTTCTGCCCGCTATTACGGGAATGTTGAGAACCTCTTTATAAATCTCAACAAATAAACTGTTGAAATTGGTTTCACCTGAAAAAGTGACTTGACGTTGATACAAAATTATACAACACCTCCAATTATATTTTTTGCGAGCACTACCTTTTCCTAAAATGAGTTAGAATAACAGGCCAGGAATGTGTGGTTATTGGCACCATAATACTTAATTTAAAAGCTACTATAAATACGATATAAGAAATAGAAATATCAGCTGAAAGATTTTAAATAAAATTCTAGCATCAATATTAATAGACACTTAACCTATAATCAGCTTTTGTGAAATCTTCTGGATTCACGATAATTTTGTAGCAAAGAATGCGAAGGTGTGAATATTGTTTATTGCTCAACTTAGAAGTTAAGTATGAATACAAAATTGAATCGCCTAGTAATGTGGGACCATTGTGAAGTACTAACATTTATAACAAAAACAAACTTATTATAAAATGTTAAGTAGTACATTATGTAGAATATCTTGTGACGGCCACGTATTGACAGCTGGAGAAATTATTTCAATAAATTTATCTCAATAGTTACCGTGAAAGTAAAGAAGGTAGTAATATTTGTAGTAATAAAGTTAAATATAAGAAGCAGTTTTCTTTAGTCTTCAAATAATGCTCTTATAAATTCAAACAATTGTTTCCAACGACAAATGTATTAAAACGTCCAACATATATATTACACATATACATTTTTCAATATTTCAAAGCAGTGAAATGGATTAATAGGGTATAATTTATTTAGGAACGATTTATGTAACTACATTACAGGTCGAAGCACTGCAGTTAAAGAGGTAAACGTATTCACAAGTCAAGCTCATTTTCTTCATAATGCACACGATAATATTAGAACGGCATTTTAATGTTGGTTTAAGAACTTCACCCCAGTTTCAATATCATCGACTGTATTCTCAAAGTAAACCGTTTACTCTCGAAAACTCGCAAAATCATTTTATCCGTCCATTATATTTTCATCACTTGCCCCTTCCAATGTACGACATATCAGTCGTGGACGTCACCTAAGAGCTCCATCAGGCAGTGGCAGATCCCTCCTGGGCAATCAAATATCTTGTATGTATGTGTGTGCGTGTGTGTGTGTGAGGGAGGTTGCGTTACGTATGGGTGAACAAAATTAGAAGAAATTTCGCTTATAATTTTCGCTTTGCTGCATAACATCTGACACAGGAGATAGCATCACATGTAAAGAAAAATGTCAAGAATCATATCCTTAGTCAAAATATTGTGTCACTGATTTCATTTTAAACTGAAAGCTTTCTTTCTCAGACTGAGGTTTTCCCGCCGTTCCCCAACCAATCAGCCCCCTGCCTCGGCTATCAGCGAAATTGAGTGAGCCAACTGACAATCCGAGAGTTTAGATTTCAGCAAGTGCCGGCAAAGGGCGATAGCGATAACAGCAAACGCCCCCGCAGTGACTCATGGACGCGCGCTCGCTCGCGCGCGGGGCAGTTGAGTTGGAACTGCTCGATCTATTTGAAGCCGTAAGCTTTCCCTGCCAGATCCACACGTTAGCACTTAACTACCTACGTGACACCGAGTCGTAACCGTGTCAGTATTTAAAATTTTGTCGTGGCCTTCTTCAGTGCAAATTCCGAGACACGATATCAAGACTCGAAACATTGGCTAACAAATGTTCAAGATGACAACTTTCAATACGGCGCCCCAGATCATTCGAAGTCTAATACTAGTCTCTAGATTCCTTTAGGACCTTAATAAGATATGAGGGTTAAAGAAGTGGCTCTTATTTTTGAAATGGTGATTGAATTGCATTGTTGTAGGTAGTCCCCCTCTTTTTTTAAGGTGTTTGTTTTGGAGTATGAAGAGGAAAATCTGGAGAGACTAATCGCAAGGCCAGAGCTCAAGAGAGAGCCTACAGGGCCAGCCCCCAGCCGGCAAATTACTGGTGCGGTGTAATGTACATAGATGATGGGGAAGTGTTTTGTCAGTTGTCTTCCTTTTTTTGCGTTCATTTTGAGTTCATGACTAGGAAATAGCGCCAATATCTACGATAACCTCGAGCAGCACCCACTTTGGGTTGAGGCCTTAGCTATCGTTTCGTCTTAGAAGGGATAGTTGAAAGGAGTTTACAAATGGCGACTGAATTGTTTCACGTTCTACTTCAGTCTTCTTGCATTGGTATTTGGTATTTCTTGCTTAAGCAAGCCGCAATCTCTAAGCTAGATTGTGAGCTATTTCTTTACGAGAAGATCGAAGTCAGCGGCGTTCTGGCGCGGGATTTACACCAGGTTGAATAATCTATTTTATGAATAGTTCCTTGTTTTGAGTTATGTACTCCAGGAAATGTTGAAGTCAGCGAGACATGGTGTTTCGTGCATTTTGTCTGAGCACTTTCCAGGTGTCTTTCTTGTTAGTGAATAATTGATGTGATAACAGAATGTGAGAGCTAGATCACGAGCTAAGGACCCAGGGATTATTGACGTCGGCGCAATGCTGCGCACCACGGAATTCCATCGGTATAGTCTTCCAAGTAGCCTCTTCCTTTACATTCCAAGTAGTCGGCGATTTCCAAGTAGTCTCTTCCTTTACACTGGGAGGAGACAGTTAACTCCCGAGCGACGCAATGTGCAGGCTTCTCGCCGAGATACAAGCTACCGGAGAATTATGAGATTGCGAGGTGTTTCCGCTCAGTTTAATACGCTGTGGATGATGTTCAAGAATCATCTTTTATAGGTGGTCTGTTTTGTGAGGGTGGAGGTACACAACCTCCAGAGAATGTTGGAGTTTGAGGAACTTGGTGTTCCTTACAGCGGAACGTGTAGTTTCGAACATTGTGTCTGAACGGTTACTAGCTGTTCATTTGTTTGATCTTCTGGTGGAATAGTTCATCTCGGACGACACAATCTAGTATGTCACAATCCCTGGGTCCTCAGTTTAATACGAGGTAGTTGATGTACAGTATCATCTTTTATAGGTGGTCTGTTTTGTGAGGGTGGAGGTACACAACCTCCAGAGAGTTTGAGAAACGTGGAGTTTGAGAAACGTGGTGTTTCTTACAGCGGAACGCTTGCAAAGCTGTTCGTTTGTTTGATCTTCTGATGGACAGTTCATCTCGGACGACGCAATCTATTACATCACGGGCTATGATGCCAGGACTTGTTGACGCTGGCGCAATGCAGCGCGCTGCGGTGCTATCGCGCGAGCGCGTTCCGAACACGGCGAGGGGGGGGGAGGGGCTAGGGGCGCCAGGGGAAGTCGGAGCCGGCGAGGTGCTGGCGCGACCAGGTGTCGAGGCGCGCGGCCGTGGTGGGCGCCATGACGCGCCGGCCGTCGCCCACCTCCCCGCGCCGCAGGAAGCGCTGCTCGGGCGCCAGCGGCCCGCGCTCGGCCTCCAGCTGCGGCACCCGGTTCACCGCCGGGTTGTCGCGCATGCTCTGGAAGTCCAGGTGGTCGCTCAGGCCCGCCACCTGCGCCGCCGACACCTCCCGCCCCAGGAACGTGGCCACCTTGCGGATCGTCGCCGGCAGGTCCTGAGCAAACGGGCAAAGAGGGAAAATTAAATTGAACTTTTTTAGTGTTCTCAAATTATTAATTAATTAAATAATTAATTTGTTGGTTTGTTTTTATTTGTTGTATTACTGCTCTGTTATGCTGGCTTAACGCTAACAGAAGCACGGAAAAGGATTTATCAGTCTTCTGTTCGTTAAGAACAATTGAAACAAAAGAGTTTGTCTAATGATGGGTTCTGAATACACCTATTCCAAGAAATGACTTTCCTCATCATGGATTGTTATAAACCTTCGTTATAATCTTCAACCTCGTCTTGTATTTGCTGTTTATTGACCAAATGAAGTAACTATAATGATGGCTAGTTTTCAAGGGATGTGTCGTCATTGTCAGACTATTCAAACGGGTATACTCAATATTAATCCCGGCAGAAAAAGCCTACATTGAATTATAAAAATAAAATAATATATAAAATAAAAAAAAATTGAAATAGCTATGGAAAGAGATACTTGTACATTTCCACAGACTGTGAGAAATAAGAAAGAATTTCAAGTCAGAAGAGAGAAGATGTAACCGATGTAAATTGGTCTGAGAAAGGGAATGATTAAGTTTATGAAAAAAGAAATAGAGGAACCTTTAGAGAGAAGAAATTGAAAATTTCACGTATTATCTTGAAGGGTAACAAAAACAAGATTTAGTAATATATTTTACACGCGTACATCAATAATAAAATTCAGTCAATACTTACTTTTTTCATGTCTTCAAATAACACGAATAAAATATTCGGTTTCTGCTTCCTCATCTCCCAAAATTCCAGAACGTGATCCCAAAATGGAGTATAAATCACTAAAACAAATTAAAAACAATTTGAAAGGAAATTATGAAGATGTCATTACTTCAATTCTAATAAACTAGGCAATCTACGTTCAAGAGTAATATTAGTTAAAACATTTTTGACCCATCCGTCGCGAGTGACCCGTCTGCCCGGTTACAAGTCCCTCGGGCCGGAAGTTCCCTGCTCATTCTGAAGCACTCCTTCTCGTCTTGTCTGGATGGGACCCTTCCCCTCCTCGGCTAACGGAAGTTGCCATTTAGGCCCGTCTCCGTCAGTTATTCGGCAGGCATTAGTGCCAAGCCATAAGTCCATCTCGGTTACAGAGAGAGCGGTGTGGCGGAGAGAAGGTATCTCAGATTAGAGTGGAAATGAAATGGGTTCAGTATTTTGGTCCGACCAAAAATTCCACAAAAAAAAAACATTTCAAGGAGTACGTGGGATTCAAATCCACATCCTTTATGTAACGCGCGCTATCCCGAAATCCCTGCGCCCCCAGGTCGGCAAGGAATGAAAAGAAGATAATGGAGGTTCGGAAGGCCTCATAACTCGCTAGCAAACATCGACGCCACTCGCAGAATTCGAACCTGCGAAATTGAAACGACTAAGGTGCGCGACACGTCAATCTCGGCTATGCTGGTTGCTAATTGCTAATTATATGTCAAATTTGTTAATGACGAGAGAAATTTAAAAAAAGTACTTTAAGACAAATTTCGTTCATCAGATAATAACAAACCTAATAGTTTTCGTCGAAAATAATGGACTTAGGTCCTTCATTGCATGAAGCATGAACTGGTACATGCTGGCATTACATGAAGTGGTAACTGCAAGTCAGTATACTTTTCTGGAAAAAATGTTTATAGCTTATTCTTTAACATTGTTCATAGCTAATTCTATTACATTGTTCTATTCCAAGCTTCTATTGCAGTGGTGTTTATCATTAACCATAAAAGTCAAATTTGAAGTAAATTTCAGAAATCAAAAAGAACATTACACACAAAATTCGTGCTACATGTATATTCGATAATCACTTACGAAGGTCCTCCATGAAGCACTCAAAATGAAAGTCTTGATCTCCTGAGTATCCATTTAGAAGACGATCGTGGTGGAAGTACGATACTGCAACATCCTTGGCTTCTCTTGCGACGTATATGATCTGTAATAAACGGTAGATAATGATTAAGATCATGTTTATAGTGTTATAAAATCAATTATTACGTCGCTACATCAATTACGTACACAGCATTTCGATTCTGAATTTTGCGATCTCAAGCAATTACAAACAAATATATTTTGTCAAAAATATTTGAATTTGGTTCTTCCCTACCTCAACTAAATTGATGGAAGTGGTAACTCCAAATCAGTCTACTTTGCCTTATAATATTCATCATAGCTTATTATGTAACCTTATTATTTCAACGTTGTATTGCGGTGTATTACGAGTGATAATCTCTCCTTGTGTAAAAGTGTCCAAGAGACTAAGAAAGTTGCGAGAAATTCCATTTGATGTTTGTTCTCAATCTCAAACAAAAATGGAATAAAAAATGGAATACTAGATAGTTGCATTGTTTCCGGACGCTTCAACTGTCATTAGTCCCGTAAGTGCCATTTATTTTTTAGTGCGGTTAGTGGCAGTGATCTTCTACCGCTAGATTGCGAAATCCGGTGTCGCTCTACATGGCAGCTTGCGAGTTTTCCCCCGCCCATCAGCGGAGCCCCGCCTTATCCGAGACAAGCTTTGATCTCCCGACATGTGTGGTATTGTAATACATGTAAGTACGAATGTAGGTAATGGGTGAAGATAGGGCAAGGAAGAGGAGGGCAAGATAGCGCTCAATGCGTAGTCTCCGGCATTCGCCTGCAGATGAGAACAGTCAACCGTTATAATTTTTCTCCAGGCAGCAACAGAACTTGGCGTAGCCTAATCGATTGATGGATGGCGGTGCCTCCGGCAGCAGCGGGCTGTACCTGCGCACACGCACTCCACCACCACCACGTAAGGCATTTACACACGCAGTTCTTGCCTGTAAATGTTATAAACTTCTATGGCCAATAGCGGGGTAACAAATGATCTGCCGCATTGCGTTTAAAATCCTACTATCGTGATGACTCTAACCCGAGGACCTCCCGGTTAGAGGCAGTGCAGTAACATCAGATGAAGCCCAACGCTATCTCAGCCGGCCTACGATGGCAGCAGCGGGCGGGGAGAGTGCGAGAGGGTACTCGCCTTGGGCGCGGCGGTCCAGAGCTGCCGGGGCAGCAGGTCGTTGGGCAGGTGGCTCTTGAGGAGGCGCGGCGCCGCCTGCGCCTGCGCGCGCTCGAAGCCCCGCGCCGCGCGCGGCTCCCGCTCCTCCTCCGCCTCCGACAGCAGCAGGCTGTACCTGCGCACACGCCCACCACCGCGTCGGGCATTTACACACGGCGACTGCGCAGGCTGTCTTGGAATAAATGGGACAAACGTCTATGGCCAATAGCCGGGTAACAAATGATCACATTTTGCCAACAAGTAGGTAATATAACGGAGTTACATGCCTTATATTATTATATAATGCATATAAGGCATGTGCCCCATATAAGGCATATAACGGAGTTATATGCCTTAATAAGTTTGGTATTTGCCCCTGAATTTCAGGCAACTCGTTATGCACAGGTGTTTAGCAGGTCGTGTTCTGGTGCAGTCAAAAAAATTTCATGTACCGATGAACATTATGCCTACTTTGGAACCTCTCGGTCAATGATGCTGCAGATACTATGGATGCTGCCAAGATGCCATTGCAGTTGGCAAGATGAAAAGTGAAATTAAAAGTCAATTGATATAAAGATCACTGTGTGAAACCGATAGCATTTCTCTCGCTGCTTTTCTTGCGCTCTTTCTCTTCTACGTTTTTGTAGGCGTCTTAGAATTTAGGAGAACAGTATTATTTGAAGTTTTATCCATTCAACTTGTGTTATAATATTTCTAAGTTAATAATACTTAGTTTAATGACTACACATTAGTTCTAAAACTCAGATGGATATAAAAACGTTAATATTATTTGACAAACCTTTTAAATACTCAGCAAAAAATAGTTATAGTATCTACAATACGGTTATTTCACAGAAAACCTATGTCATAACTGATTAAATTTCAGAACTTGCGCTGCAACTAATTAATCCTTATTACGCCAGTCATACTCACTCTAAATTTGGAAATCTGTCCACCAATGGCTGTTGTTTCGCCGCATCAAAATCTAGATTGTTGACTAAGAGCCACACGAGTTCTTGCATCCACGTGGTACCTGTAACACAAGATCCAAGTAAAATTGATGGAAAAAAATGAACCGTGCAACATATAAATCATCACGTGTTTATTTGATCTCCAGAGTCTAACTTCCATGAGATATGAGAACAATTTTCACAGCAAGATGTGAAGGAAAATTAACCATTTAATTTAAAAAATTGGTACTCTCTTCCAGATTTTTGTAATTATGTATTTATACATTTAAACTAATTTCTTCAATACATTGAAAACTGTACTAGTAATTCAGTTAGATAATAATACTTGAAACATCTCACTTATGTAAATATATTCATGGAGTTGCATTAAAAATAGTCATGATTGAAGGGTACAATCTATAAAAAGATCTACAAAAATTCGATTACAAACACCAAGAGTTAGTCCATACTGGCAACTTTCACCATAATGTGTGCTTTCCAGTATCATGAGAATAATGATCGACTGATATATTATTAAAAAATAGATATTAAGAGTTGATTATTAGTTGATGTCCCTGTAAATTCACAATCGTAAAGAAACATTTTATTCTAGGGACTAGCACATAATTACAACGATATTATGCATTTTAACGATATTATGCATTTCTAACTTTTCAAACCAGTGGCAGGTTGCTATTTAGTTTATATATTTTTTTGTCCAGTTAGCTACAAATGCTCAGTAATTTCACGAAAAATCGTTGAGTATTATTATGTTTATGGCACGCGTGCAATTAAAACTTTAATCGTGCAATTAAGGGTCCACAACAGCCAATCAGAAATCAGATAACTGAACGAAATCCTTTATCAATAACATAGGCGTAGCCAAGGTATTGAAACATGTCGGCCATGAAACATGAACAACAATGTACATCACGACTACTTACATCAATAGCATATAATCATCGAACGAATGAAACAAAATTATAAACGAATAATTAATACCATTACTTAGACAATCACGTTAACATTTGTAGTACATTAAGTTAAATTAGAAACTATTATCCTACTCATACGTGGCATCAATCATCCTAACCCAGAAGTCTGTTTATACTATGGCACAGATATGTTTACTTCACCTATTTGAACGTGATGGCCCAGCGAGAGCAGTTGTTTTGGCTAAACTCCTTGATTTTTTGCAAAATCAAGTAAATTGTTTATAATTTAAAACATCGATATTCTCCTTTATAGGATACGTTTTCGTCATAAACAAGTATGATAATAACCATGTTGGTTTGACACTAGCTGATTAATGGAACAACATAAAATATTTAACATGAATAAATGTGTAAAGTGTAAAACATTTGGTCTTAGCATATTACAAATATAAACTAGTGATGTTACACAATGGTACAGACTTTCCCGTATTACTTTTCTATTTCCTTTGCTGTCGGCTAGCTATTCGGACTTGCTTAAGAATATGAAAGAACAGTAAAAACTTGTCCTAAATGGCAATTTTCTTTAAAAAATTTGGAGTCTTCTTGAAGAAAATGTCGTATAAGTGTTACTGTAAATTTGAAATTTGAATCTCTTTTCTTAGAAAACTATAGTTTTAGAAGAACTTCATAAGAAGTCATTGCAAGCGCTTCTAATCACAAATGCAATTGTGTTTAAAAATCGCTGGAAACGTGCATATTAAAGGCGTAAGAGATGTTTTAAAATATACATTTGTGTACTTTTTTAAACAACAGAATGGCGGTTATGAAATTTTATAGAGTGCACTCAGTACTACCGAAAGTTTAAAGAAAAAATTTGGATCTGTTTTTGAGAAAATTTCGTTTTTAAAATATTATAAAATTGCAAACATTGAACGCAATATTTCTTGAATACTACTGAAATTTTCTAAAACATTTCACATTTTAATGAAAGAACTAATTATGGACAACAAATTTTATTTGAAGGAAAAATCTCTATCTCTATATTTAATTTTTTAATTGTAGAAAAATGCCAAAAAATTCAAACTTTTGCGATTTTCGAAAATTCACATCTATGCCACCTTTATAAGTGTATTTTACTCTTTTCTTGCAATAAATTTAAAGAAAAAATGTGGGATCGTTCTTGAGAAAATTTTGAAAATGTCAGGGGGCTTCATGTAAAGTACTCCCAAATTTTAAAGAAAGTTTTTCAAAATCGCGGCGTCTCGAGTAGAATCAAATCGACTGGAAAATATCCATTTTGGAAGAAATAGCACGTGTAGTTTTGGCGCTAGTGTTGTTCACAGACGGACGGACAGACAGACAGACAGATAGTCGGACTTTTGAAAAAACAACACTTTTTCGATATCAGGGGACCCCAAAACGAATTTCCGTTGAAATCTCGAAATCGATTTTTCGCAATATTACGTAACTTTCCTTGTACTGTGTATATTACTCCGTTTATACGTATGTATAAGGGAAAGTAAAATGTAATCGTCAGTTGTATTTACCCGCTCTGAAAAGTACACCAGCAAAACGTGAGAATCAGAACTGAATCGTCTTTCTCCTTTACAATATTAACACACGTTCTTACTTTTCGTACGTAGTTTACGTGTTTTCATGGCTTTGTCAGCTTCTTCTAACATTTCAACAATACGTTCAATATTTTCCATTTTCAAAAGTTTCTTATTTTGTACATTAAGGCACTAAGGCACTACGGTGATCATACGCACTCCCAGTAGAAAAGTATCATAACTCAAAAACTTTTATATTACATACAATATTTAAAGTAACATTTTATGCTCTTGCATCCTACAATATTGTCATTTCTTTTGAGGCTTATTTTAGTCAAATATTGGCGATGTTCGTACTGCATAATCATGATTTGATAATGTAATTTCAAACTTTTAAAGCGCTCTCCTGAAAAATCACCTTTTTTGAGTTACGACACTTTTCTACTGGGGGTGCATACACACGAGCTTACTAAACGCGGTCTTGTTCAGAACCTATATGACGTCATCAGATAAATAATCAAATGGTCAAGATATGATTGAATTTCTCAAAATTATAATTATTCTTTATTGAAAGCGAAAAAGTATTGAACGAAAACGTAGATAAAAGGGAATATTGCCTTCATGGTAAATAAGAAAACTCGCTCCTATCGTCGCTCGTTTTCTTGAACGTATCGTTCGTGCAATTATACCCCTTTTTATTTACTAGTTTCGTTAATTACTATAATTAGTATTAGTACTTGAGCTTGCGGATTTTTCAAAACTATATTTTTTTTCTTCCCGGTAAACTGGTGTTTCTCTGCTGCCGAGGTGACTGGGTTATTTATAAAACATAATCAGAAATTTGTTACGACAAAACGAGTTTGGCTCCTTGACAGGGGCTAGTCCAACCCGTGAGAAACGTCCTAAACCTTAGCCCTACCCTTATTCCTTCCCAATTCTGGCCAATGGGTAGATGCCGTAGGGCGCATGTCAGACGCGAGCGCGAAGGCGCTACCTGTCGGCGATTTCCTGACTTCACTATGACTGACGCGAATTGACTAATACTCAGCGGCCCCTAGAGGGCGCTTAATAACGGAGTGCACTCAACGCTCCTTAAGGATGCGTTAAATGTTAAAAAATCATTGGTATACAAGGTTTTATGCGTTTTCAAATCAGTCGATTTGATTGTGTTTTTAACCAAAAAGATTGTTACAGCGTTCTCGCAACAAGTGTCTCTTTGTCAGCGAGCCACTGGCGCGTCGAGCATTTTGGGAATATAAATATTTTTGTTTAGCTTGTTTAAAAAATTTGGAAAGGAGTTACAATCTGTTACAATACCTCGCGTACAACCCATATTATAAAGGGAACGCAATTAAAAAAGTATGAAGATATTTTCTTTTAAATATTGTGATCCGAAGCTCGTTTTAAAGAAAGTTAATTTTGCAATGTCAATGTTTTTGTCATGGTGAATACAAGTCACATGTGTGAATGGTGACACAAGTCACACCCTTTGCTAGTATTACAGCCACAAGCGACAAGGTTATAGAACAAGTGCGGCGTCAATCCTGAAGAGCCTTACGTCACCCACGATAACCAATGCTAAATCCTCTCGTTCAAGCTCTTTGCATGGTGTTACCAAATACCTGAGAATATAGGACACTGTGCCAGTTTGAGTAGCTACAAACATCAACACATCTGAAGTACTTTCATTACGTTTTGGCTTAGATATAAATTTAGTTCAAAGATGAGAATGTGTTTGCATCAGAGATGTAGTTGCTCCAAGAGCAGTAAACATGTATTGTATCTCACAAAGCTTCTTTATAAAAAGATACAGAGTTATACTTGGTATTCATACCGCGGTACTCGAAAGTTGTGAATGTAAATTTAGTTCGTTGTGTTATTCGTTTTAAAAGGCTGATAATTTGTGGTAACATCATTACTCTTTGGTGTTCCCTTTGTAATTTCATATCGTGTTATTTTCCATTGCATGTTCATAGATCGTCGTTATGACAGATCTGTTAATCTCGATCACTGAAGGTGTCAATTGCAGAACTACAGTTTGAAGTCTCACAAGGAATCACAAATCGTTCTTCAATTATGTAAAAAGCAAATATTGTATTTAAGATAGTGAAAGATATCAAAAATATATTTCATTTCTTATATTTTTATTGAAATGTACGTCTGTCTGTTTTCGTTATTTGACTTCCGTGAAATACAGTATGTAATGCTTTGTTGCACTTAAATTTTAATTTTGTTAGATGAATTAGATGTGTCTAAGCTCGTCACTAGCTTGTTTGTTTTTCATGTGCATGGTTCGAGGATCGAATTGGAGTAGGCAAGAGCAATTTCTCGCTTCTCTGCGGCTAGACGAAAAGGGAAGCAACTGAGCATTTGGGTAGTGCTGAATAGTGAAATTCCTGCTGTGAAAGGTATTACTGTTATGACCAGTTAGCACTTTGACGCTTGCTGACTGGACAAGGAAAGCAATGGAAATTTACTTCTCGTCCTCTAAATTGCCTAATGTCACTCATTAGTCGCAGTGATTGGTGGTACATTGAGGATCCAAGTGAATCACGAGAGTTGATCACTATACAAACAGGAAGAACATAAGAATGAACGTCAAGACAATATTTTTTTACATAGTCGCAGTAATAATGTTAACAATAATGACAATAATAGAAATGAACGCTGAACACTTGCGATTACTTGTTTAAATAAGTACAGTAAAATGCTTCAAGGGTTTGTTAATTTGTCTACTACTGTTTGTTCATTATTGTTTACGCTTTACGATGAATCATAATACTTAGGAATTTCTGGTCATGTAGATTACCGTACGAGATGTGTGATTTAGGACAAATATTGACAGATGTCAATGCATGGAACATGAGATAACACCACATGAAACTTTAGTTTATTCACGCTGAAGTTGATATTGAGTATATAATCTGTGAGTAAACAATGTAGTACGTAAAGAAAATTAATGGCATAACAAAATAAATATTTAGTGCCGTAAACTGGCAAAAGGGAAACGTTTAAGCAATAATATTTTCCATAAGGACGATATCCAACTCAAGATTGTTTTCGAACGTAAGATTCCCTCCTGCCTGAATCATCTAAACCTTCCGAATGAGAAACGCAGCCCGCACATTTGCTGCGAGGGGAAAAGTTGTGATCAAAGGGCAGTCAGTGCGTCAGCTGCTGCAGCTGGTATCGAAATGGAAAATTAGCATATTTTAGTTGTAATCTCAAAGTAAAATACAATACGTTGAGACTGACAGGTATGAAAGTGACTGTTCTAAAAAACAACTAGAGAAAAACAACTTTCTAAAGACGGCATTTTTTCGAACAGGCCTCAGAAATACACAATAAAATAATTCCTTGTCCAGAGTTCATAAATGATAATGTAATAGATTTGCACCCAATAAAGTGAGAAAAACAAGAGTTCTTTTTAAATACGTGAAAACGGGTATGAATTATGAACGCGAAGATAAATGACAGTGTAGAATACGAAACAACAATCCTGACGTGTAGAGTAGGGATGATCAATAAATTATTTAGATATATTTGTATCGTACGACAGAAATAGAAACACACTATTAACAGTAGGAATAATTATGTTAAAAACCTGGATTAAAATGTACGTCAGGTCAAATTGTTTCAAAAATCAATTCAAAATTAACATGCAAAATTTTCCTGAGTTGAACGCCTGTAATTGTGGGCTTATGTCACTATCTCCCCTAAGTAATAGTATTCCATTCAATATTTACTTAGTAATTTAGCGTTGAAAGACTGCTGGAGATGAGTTTCTTAAAAGCAATATCAGAGAAAAAGAAAAATTACTTGTGGCCGATCGTCAACAAATAGCCGTCCCGTTGCAACCACCTTCTCAACTTTACGAACTGTGAAATACAAAATATAGAATATCTGGGCGACGGGACCGTAATTACGATCAATATTGTTATCATTGATTTACTTAGTCACAGTTGTTTCAAAACCAAGAGGCATAAACTGTGAGACTCAGGTTTGATTCCCTGTGGAGGTGAGAAACGCTTTGAACAATTTACTCATGTAGCGCCCGTAACATTCCAATGTAGCTTTTAGGGGTTATGAGTAAGGAACTACGACTGTTAGGCATTGCCCTCGAACTTCTACGCTTGCCAGCTTGTTTGTACTCACCGCACTTGGGGGGCGCCACCACCCACACGTCGTCCGGGCGCACGGCCATCCCTCGCACGGCCTCCACGTGCGGCACGTAGGCCGCCGGCAGCACGCAGCCCTTGCCTCCACCCACGCTGCCCACGCGCACCAACCCGCCGGGGTACAGCTTGGCGGACAGCTCCGCCAGGCGGCGAGCGCGCTCCCCGCCCACGGGCAGCACGTCGGGCGCCAACTCGGCCTCCGCCTCCGCCACCGCGGCCGCCACCACCTCCGCCTCGGCCGCCGCCGCCGCCGCCACCACCGGCTCCATCCGCAGGCTGTTGGTCAGCACGCGCAACTGTACGTCTGCCATGGCGCGCGCCGCTCGCCCGTGCACTGCGGCGGTGCGTCGTCGGCGACCTCGTCCGCCGGCGAAGGTGGCGACGTCCCCGCCCTCAGCGCCACCGGCGACTTTTCACTTCGCGCGGCGCCGCGGCCGCGCCCGGATTAGCGACCGATACGCCACCGCCTCACGGCTAATGGGGAGGGAGGAGGCGCTGCCAACATTGGTGGAGGTGCACCGAGACACTAGACACTCGACACTCTCTGTCTCTGTCTGCTCGTTTATCTCACGATTTAGATACTTGCCGAATAGATTTAGATATACAGATAAATTGATTAATAAGTTGTATGTTTTTAGTTACGATGCGTGATCGCAACCAATAAGATTATAATTCTAATTGAACAAACTAGAAACACTTTTCCCTTCGCGCGGCGCCGCGGCCGCGCCCGGATTAGTGACCGATACGCCACCGCCTCGCGGCTAATGGGGAGGGAGGAGGCGCTGCCAACATTGGTGGAGGTGCACCGAGACACTCGACACTCTCTGTCTCTGTCTGCTTGTTTATCTCACGATTTAGATATTTGCCGAATAGATTTAGATATACAGATGAATTGATTAATAAGTTTTTATTTACGAGGCGTGATCGCAACCAATAAGATTATAATTCTAATTGAACAAATTAGAAACACTTTTCCCTTCGCGCCGCGGCCGCGCCCGGATTAGCGACCGATACGCTGCCGCCGCGCGGCGCCGCCTCAGAGGATAATGGAGGAGGGAGGAGGTACCAACGCCACCAACATTTGGTGGAGGTGCACCGAGACACTCGACACTCTCTGTGCTTGTCTGCTCATTTATCTCACGATTTAGATATTTGCCGAATAGATTTAGATACACAGATAAATTGATTAATAAATTGTATGTTTTTATTTACGAGGCGTGATCGCAGCCAATAAGATTATAATTCTAATTGAACAAATTAGTTCTATCGGTGCTCTGAGGACCACTATATTTACAGTTATATTCCTGAATATTAATATTTAACGTTTCAACACTCCACTGTACTTTACATAATTTCGAATAGCAGGTACTACACAAATAGAAATTAATTTAAAAAAAACTTAAATTCACATTATTTTAATATATTCCGTTTAATTTCTGGTGGTTAATCGGATTAATTATTTATTTTTTAACGGGAAATTTGTATTAGGTCAAGAAAAGTTTTTAATTTACTATGTTTTTCATCGACGGCAAAAGAGGCATACTAACCTAAAACTTGTGTATGTTACCCACTATATTACAAATCACTGACTTGCATGGGTAATTGGTAAATAAGATATTTAAAGAATCAAATAATATTTACGGGCCCCATTTTCCTGGAATGACATAACCATCCTCAGAAAATGAACCACGAAGAATCATTTGCATCACACTACTGTAGTTCAAATTTGACCTTGAGACTTCAAATGGATTTCCTGTAAATATGCTTCTGTAATGGTTCAAAGTCACAAAGGCAAAAGAAATGTGTTTTGAAATTTTAGGATATGTTTTTGAGATATCAGAACAAAGTTTCATTTCAAATTGACAAATTCATTTTAATCGTAATAATCGTTTTGAAATAAATATATTTCGATCCAACAATCGACGCTTAGAAATGCTGTTCTAGAGTATTTCTTTATAGATTTCTGCTAAATTGTAAATCTATATTCTATTGCAATATAATTCTATCACTATTCAAAAACAAAAATGGACGGAAACTGGCTTTGTGAGAGGTATCAATTGCATTGTTTGATACCCAAGAACTCCAAATCTAGGAAAAAATCTAAAAACAATTAAACCTTTTCATAATTTTGACTGAAAAATGAAAATATTTGATTATGTTAATCAGCAATTTTCTCATATCTTATATACTTTTTGCTCCTCCTAAATCCCATCTCACACACACTCAACAGCAGCATTTTGCTGCTGGAGGCCACTAGTATTCTTTAATTCAGTAACCAGTAAGACATTTGAGAAAGATAAATCATGCCGTTAAGGAAATGCGGCAAAATAGTGCGCGTATTAAACCAATCTCGAAACGACCTAAATAGTGATACTGCATTCGACTAAATCTAGTTCAGAAGAAGATACGCTTTAGAAGAGTAATTTTAGCGTATCGAACTATTATGTACAAGTTCACAAGAACAATATCCTACTTTTAAAAGCGGAAAATCCTTCGTACGCCTTCCTTGAGGTAAAGCTGGGAGTCTCCCATGTTGTTGATTTACTATATGTAAAGCAATTGAACCCAAAAGAAGTCGCTGAGCTAATGTTTGTTTCGTCGCCTGATACTTCCTTGACAGCTACTTGGCGAAAAGAGGGTAGAAAAATCTGCATGGTTAGGCGGACGTGCACGCCTGATGCACGCCTTACGTGGTCGCCACGTAAAATAAGGTGTCATTCAATGGAATTGAAGACGCGATCTCGGCGCCGGCTCAGTTACGAAAGGTTGAGATGAAACGATTCTAAAATTATGCGTCACAATTATCTGTGGAGGACTTGATCTGACGAGAAGGATAACTTAAGAATTTTCATTTATCGGGAAAATATTTCCTTCATAATCATCCGATCATTCTTCAATGAAAAATTTCAAGCAGATTGTAAAAAGCAGGTAATTCCACTTAAACGAACCCATTTGGATCTAATCTTTTTCCGAATACGAAAGGTTCCGCTTAAAAGAACTTCTTTTAAAAACATGCAAATATTTTCCAGGATTTTTAATATAAAATGCAATATAAAAACACGAAAAGTAATGTAATTAATAAAACGTAAGTAGTAAAGTAAGTTGTAAAACGAAAGATAATAATTATTGTTTTCTAAATCTTTAAAGGAAACAAAGGTCTGCACCGCGAATTATCGGTGGGCAACAGGTTTTCACAATATCAATATCGCTTTTGAAAAACAGAGCAAAAACAGCACTTGTATTGAGACAAAGCGCAATAATGAACTACTAACTTTTCAAATGTTTGAAACAGAGTTAATACAGATATCTTATTAAGGTGATATTTAAGTTTAAGAGAATGGCCACAATAAATTTAATTTAGCATAATTGTTGCTTTGGAGATAAGTGATCAATAAATCCCGTTTTGTACGCGATTTTATACAGTTCGAGTACGTTTAGAATGGGATGTTCGTTCCACGATAATTAAGAAATGCAAATTTTTAAAAAGACAAACCAGATTAGAAGCAGATGTAAAAGTCAGAAACATCTCAATGGCGAGTGAAAAGGAGTTGTTAAAATTAATTGTAGAATTGGACTGAACATTTGTTGCCACGAATTTCTTAATTATTTATGAATTTTATTTTATCCCAAATAATTAATTATTCCAAGGTATCAGCGTAATTCCTAGTTTGCATAATGGCTAAAATTGATATTTTATTGATACAATTCTGAAAATATTACGAATAATTAATTTAGCATTTGCGTGTTTACGAGATACGCGTCAAAGACATTTACTATGGAAACGTTTTGTGGAAAATGCGCAATGCGATGCTTGAGTAAAGAACGTTACGTGGAATTTCTTGCAAAATCCGCTTACCGTGCTCTGATTAGTAACGTTCTTTCCTATAATGACCGACATGGGTGGAAGTGACGCTCATAGAGGATGTAGGCGAGCGAAGGATATATAAGAAATTAAAGACATAATGTATCCTTTTTTCAACTTCTCTTTCAATTCTTGCAGCATTACGTTTGCAATAGAGTTTAATTTCTACTGTTCGCATTAATTAATATTGTGCTTTATTTTTGGTGATTCTACGGTTATTATAGAGGGTTTTAGAAAAAATGCTGACTAAAATATTTTTCTTTTTATTGAATTTCCCTTTTTGTCACGAACTATTTATTAAATGCATTTTTTCTAGTAACGAATATCAACATACTTATAATATAAGTTTTAGTGATTGGCAAAGACATTTGACATGAACAAGCTTTTGGTAAATTATTAATATGGAAAATAGATATATCAAACTAGATGATAAAGCCCTACGACGACCTTATAACATCAGCATTTGTTTTTAAGTCGCAAAAAAACACCATGATATTGAATTTTTTTTTTCGGGAGTTGTTGTCAGACCATAGGCTTGTCACGTATTTCTCTATGTATGTCGACGCGCTCGCTTCGGTGGTCGTCAGATCCAAAAACTTGACACATGTTTCTCTCTATATATCGACGCGCTGAACCCAATATGAAATCAGAATTGCGCCATCGCTCTCTAGTTTCTTTCAATCGCAAAAAATCACAGAGAAATTGTAAATTTCACGGTGGTTTTTAGACATTAAAAAACAATTGGAAGGGCTGCCGTTATTTTGGCTTCGAATTCAGATTCAGCGCGTTGATATACGTAGAGAGACATGTGTCAAGTATTTGGGTCTGACAAGGTTTTTTGGTGCGCCTGTGTGATGAGCCTACTACGTATATACAAAGACAGAGCGCCAACAATAATGATAATGGAAATAAACGCGGACTGTGTGCGCGGACTGTGGCTCGTTGAATGAGCGCTTCCGGCATTTAGCGCGAAGAGATCAAGGGAACATCGAAAATCACTGGTCAGAACAGTAGTGCTGAGAATTTAATTCCGACTTGCGCGGTTTGAAACTCACTGATGTTCAACACGACCAGGAAATATCAGGCATATTACGGGGGGTGAACAAGAGACCTTGCATTCACCGATGCACTCGACAGCAGTCGTTACTGAACCGCAAAACAATGTTGACAGAAGTCGTTACTCAACCGCAAAACGATGTTGACAGAAGTCGTTACTCAACCGTAAAACGATGTTGACAGAAGTTGTTACTCAACCGTAAAACGATGTTTCCCTCTCCGCTACTGATGACGGTTTAAGAGATATTATATTTTTATAGAAATTCGTAAATTATTGTTATCACATAATTATAAATTTGTTCTGCATATCTCTTCATCATAATACGAGAACCATCAGGGTATTACAGAAGCATCTTTATAGTATTTGTGAAAGTTCAATAATAAACTGACGCA